GAGTTAAATTGAAAAGAATAAAAACACTAACAAAAAAAATCAAAATAATTAGGAAAAAAACATTAAACTATAAATTTGGATTAAAGGGTAAAAATAAAAACAATAATTAGAAAAGGGTTAAGGGGAAAAAAATAGATTCAAAAAATAAGGATCAAATTGAAAACATTAATGCATGATAAAAAAATGAACATATAGAGTTTTTCAAAAAACAATTACACAAAAAAATTTCTAAATATAAATTTAAAAACTAATGCACACATCTAATTTAGCTCATTTGGTATTGTGATAATACTTTATTTTTAAAGTATTTTTTACTTGGAAATTGATCGAAGTAATTTTTTTAATTTATTTTTAATATTAGTATATCAAAACAATTTAAAAACATGAAAAAGAAATTAATTTGAAGCAAAAAAAAAATTTATTTTAATCACAAAAAAACAAAGCCTAAATAAATCAAGAACTATTAAATAAAGAAATGAAAAAGGAATTCATTAACAATACATAAAAACCAAACTGAAAAAAATCAAGAGATAAATGTAAATTAAAATATTTAATATCATAACACGGGTCATTTATCTGATTGTGTTTAATGAATTATTTTTATTAAAATCAATTTGTAATAGAATTGATGCACATATAAAATTTATTGAATAAAATAAAAATAAAATAAAATATCATGTAAAACTACATATATTAAAAATAAAGTTAAAATTACTAGGCACCTACAAGTTTTAAGAACGGGCTCTACACTTTGTACTGTTATAAGAATTCTATAGATTTTGTAATTGTAAATTCTTTAAATGCAAAGTTGTATTGTGAATATTAACATTATAAAGGGTAAGAAAAGATGAGCTATATGGATTTCATGGACATCTATAAAGGATGACTAGACTAGTTGATATTTGTAAAAAATAAATAAATTTATAGATAATTAATAAGGTAATCATGTTCATTGGCATTTCTTGGAAGTGATAGTTAAAAAATGAATATTAATGCAGGATCAATCGAGAGAGAGTTAACTTTGAAAACATTAAATATATAATTAATTGTTGAATTTAAGATCTAGTTAGGTAAACAAACAAAAAAAAAATTGGGGGAATTAAAAAATATTTTTATTGATTATTATATGCCTTTTAATATTGTATTAACAAATTGATACATATTTATTATATGACTTCAGGTTTATTGGAGACTTGTCAAGAACAATAGCTTAGGATTGTATTATTATTGTTTAGCTTGAAGTATTAGACTTTATATATTGTATGATTTGTTATGTCAAGTAATTTAAATTATATGTAATCTAACTTGTTATTTAAGGATAAATATTATTCTAAATAGTTAATTTTGAATGTGTGTATATAATAAGTAAGAACATTTATAAACTGTATTGGTATATGTGATATTTTTATAGCTTTATATCATATTATCTTAGACTATTAAAAAGAATTGATTGTGATGAGTTGACAATGATAATAAGTATTATTATCATATTATGGTAAAAGAAATAATCCAGGATGATTAAATTCAGAATAAAAAAATTGTTTTAAAAATATGTAAGTGATTGTTGATAATTTGAGATGTTCTAAATACAGAGAAAACTTTGTAAAATTTTTGGTAAAGAAATAATTGGTTTTAAGTACTAATATTATTTTGAAAAAAAATGTGGTTATATATATATATATGACTTGTTATGGAGATAGGTATAAAATCATCATCCTACATTTTTTTTTATAATCTTTATGGAAATCGTTACTCATATTCTTGAAATGTCATTAGTCTTGCTCCCAGTAATTGTTTGTAATGTGTTTTTTCATGTACTTATCATTATAACTTCTAAACTAACATTCTAAAAAAGTAACCAAACAATTTAGTTGTAATGTAAAAGTAATTATCTGACAACTTTTGTATCATTATAACTTCGAAGCTAACATTCTAAAAAAGTAACCAAACAATTTAGTTGTAATATAAGTGTAATTATATTACAACTCTCGTATTATTATAATTTCTAAACTAACATTCTAAAAAAATAACCAAATAATTTAATTATAATGAAGTGTAATTATATTACAACTTTTGTTATATTTTAGTTACCTGTATGAAGTAAAACCCATCATCATTACTAGAAATAAAGGTAATATCATTGGTCTTTTAGGTAACCAGGAAAGCATAGGTCGACTTGAGGCAAATGAATGGTGCCATCATGGGTAGCCTGATATATATTATATATAAAAGATGTATAAGTCTTAATAGTTTTAATTATTGTTTTATCTTAATAAAATATTAACCATGAATATTTAAAAAAGAAGTAATTGTTATTATAAATTAAGGTATAAGAGATACTTGAAACTAATATGTAGTTGCTTGTTAAATAACATATACACTAAACTGACTTGTATAAAAATTCCATATAAAAAGATCATATATATTCACAGAAAAGCTGATGTGATGGTTGTATAAATAGTCTTGCAACTTGAGATTATTGAGTTATTTTATTTAGAAAATGTTACGCTTTGATCCTCTTATATGTTATCCAAATCAAGGGTAACAAACAAGCAAATATTAGTTATGATACAAATTATATGAAGATATTTGAGTAATTAAAAAAAATTCATCATCCTAGATGAATTTGAAAAAATATTTAATATATTCTCAAATAGTATTAATTATAAATCCTTGTGCAAAGTAAAATGAGATTTGAAAAGAGTAAAAAGAGCTTCAAATCTTATTCAAAGAATTAATAACTAGGGTGTTGACAATAAAAATAATTTGATAGAGTAAACACATTCCATATTATAATATTCAAATCAGAACATTATTGATAAAAGGATAATAATTATATTGAGAAATTGATTACTTAAAAGATAAGTCAAATCACTTATAACTTTTCTAATATTCAGGGGATTATGACAAATTACTAGATACTATACTTGATATTCAAAATAAATCAATCAATTATTAAGTTGATAATAAATTAATTTATTTAATCTTATTATTTAGGATTGTGTTTTATATTTGAGTCAACTTATTAGAAAACATATAAGAACCATTGATCAGAAAATTAAGATGAAATGATTAATCAAGTATGACTTGATTATAAATAAGTTTTAGAAATTGAGAACTAAAATGTAATTAATAGAAAATATAATAGGTATTGCATATAAGAACTATTGATCAGAAATTAAGATGAAATGATTAATCAAGTATGACTTGATTGTAAATAAGTTTTAGAAATTAAAAATTATAATGTAATTAATATAAAGAATTACAATTCTAGATTTATAAAAATCAAGTAGAGACTTGATTGAATAAATTTTTAAAGTTATCCTAAAATCATAAATGTAATATTATTGTGGGGAAAATTGATATTTTACTATTTATAGAGTTTTCAGATTTTTCTATAAATAGAATATCATACTTTTTAATTTCTATATAGTAGTAAGAATAAAAAAAACTATGTAAGTTATAAAAAATTTAAAAAATATAAAAGAAAAAAGTTAGTACTAAAAAATTATAACAATTTATCTCTTTTAAAAAGATTCAGTAAATTTTTTATTAGTATTTTTATATAGGTTATTTTAGATGTTAGACATATGAATAACTTGTGATTTATGATAATTTAATTTTAAATTAATTATTTAAAATAAAAAATATATCTAATTTTTATCTAATTTTTTTTATAAATTCTAAATAACTCTAATATTACTGAAGCACCTAAAAAAATTAAATTTATTATTTCCGCGCGCGCCTTGTGTGTGTATATGTTTTGAGGAACCTGGCGAAGATCCCATGTGTTACAGTCGTCATCATTTATAATAACACCAGCGAAACATTTCTCTTTGGTCTTGACACACCTCCATCTAACGGTTCTCATGTGGTTTCGAACGTATTTTGAGGATATTAGCAGTTGGATCTTTCGTTTGATGATATGACGCCCTGTTGGCCATACATGGAAGGCAGAGATTGGATGTTAACCTTATCGTAAAGCACCCCTGTCGGAATGCCACGTGGAAATGGGCCCATATATTTATATCATCTTTGCATCACAGGTAGGTAGGCGTGATCGTGGAAATGGTTTATAGCCCTTCTTCATTCGGAGATTAGGACTTTCCATTTACAATTTGGGTCATTGTGGTATATATACAAAAGTACCCATTTAGAATGTCTATTTTAATATATTATTTTTGATTTTAAGAAATTTATTAGAAATTATATTATCCTACATTTATTTTTTATTTTTAACTTGAAACTTGAAAGTAACTTTTAGAATACGGGCATATAAGAGTATTTTCAATTGAGCTGCTAAATAAATAGTCAAAAATAAAATAAAGTAATATTTTAATTTTTTTTTGTTTGTTTTTTATTTCAAGAAAAAAGTCAAATAAAATGTTAAAATATTTTTTTTTTATATATCTCTTAAAAGAATCATAATTAACAAAGTAAGGCTAAGAAAAGAATAAACCAATTAAATCTAGTCATGTAAAAAAATAAATAATATTAAAATAATTAAAAAAAATAAAACACTTATTTATTACACTTTAATAGAATTGGCTTTTTAAATAACTTTTTTTTATTAAAATTTATATAATAAAAAAGTTATGTTTATACTATTATTCAAAATACTATTCAACAAATTTATCTGTTTGAAATAGCATCTTTTATTGGAGATGATGTAATATGTCGCAGTTCATGGGCTGAAGGGTCCCCTACCCTGGACCATACCATTGCATCAGTATTTGTATGACAATGCAGGAATTTAAAGGTGAGATTTCCAGATGTTCTCATCTTTTTATCAAAATGTTAATTACCTTAGCTTCTGAGCTAATTTTCAAAACACTCCGCTTCGTTTCTGGCTATTTAGAGTCAAGATAACCAGCAGTGAGACAGACACCTGACCTCACCATCAGCTAGACAAACTTCTAAATAAGATCCTCATTCCGCAGGCAGTAAAGCTTATATGCAGTAAAGCTTATATATTTTACTTGCACCATTTTCCTTCAGTGTAAGGAATGAATATTCAGTCCCAATAACATGAACATGACAGACACGTATAATAAATTTTTCGAAGGACTTTACAATCTGCATTTCAGAGAGAATTTACATTTCTAAGGTTTTGTTGCTTCAGTTCGAAGTAAATACAAAACTGTCCCTTCGTAAGAATCAGAAATGGGAGAAAGTTTTTAGAACTCATAGAGGGGATAGAAGCCTCGATATATCTATGATTATAAACACTACATATCACTGCAAGTCAGTGAATAAAGACATAAATTAACTTATATGAAGAAATCAATGAATGAAAAGTAATCTTGATAAACTCAATGAATGGCTTCTAATTTACTGCCACCGCTTTGGAGGCTTGTCTAGGTTGGAATTGACAGTTTTCTTAATACCTGAAAGAACCAGTTACGGGAAATTTAAGAGAGAATTAAAGTATAATCACCGAGGAAAACAATCTGCTCTTTCCTATCTTATTTTACTTACTTGCGGACCCTTTTGGGTTGTCCCTTGACACAGTCACTGCCTTTGATGCGTTTTGCGTTTGGTTTTGTAGGAGTCGAATAGTAGATGCCACTTTACTCCTGCATAAAAACCAAGTTCTTAAAATCCCATGTCTGCAAATATATGTATATAACTGAAAACTGAAAGTCCAAAGTTTTACTATTGACGCAAATTATCACTTTCAAAGCATTGTTGTCCTGTCAAAAAAGCAACTCCCTTTCATTTTGAAAGAAAAATAAATTTTTATAAGATGTATGCAAGATAATGTCAAAAAATCTCAAGGAAACAGAAAAAAACGCAAGAAATTCGTCACTCACTTCCGCAATGTCTGTGATAGTTTTGTGCCTTGATCTGTTGTGTCATCAGGTTCTGTTCCCACTGAAAGAACACTCTCAGAAATGTCACTTAATCTATCCTCATAGTCTCCATCTTCAAATCTTAATATCTCAGCATCTGCAAATGACATATCATGACCTGTGTCCCCATCAGAAAGTTTTGATTGCTGGGAACCAGCTTCAGAATGCTTGTCACTGCACTCTGAAATGCTTTCCTGATAAGAAGCTGTCTCACTTCCTACACTTCTCCTGTCAGATGGTTTTCGGGTTCTGTGAGGAATAACACTTGAAGAATTATAGCTCGCAGAGGAATCACCATACCTCGCTGAACCAGGATACTCGTTTTTAAGATCTTTTGTTAATTGCAACTGCTCAATCTCATCATCCTTTTTTGCAATTGTGTCTTTGAGAGATGCCACCTGCATGATGAATAGAAGATTCAGAAAGCACTAACCACATGTGCTGTGCTGTAATATAAATTCAGCTTCTTAAATTTTTTATTGTCTATTGGTTGCATGTACTTGGATGGAAGATGAAATGTTCTGTTTACCTATTAAGTCACTAATGGGCATAAAGAGCTAATCATGCATATATGTTATTCCTGAATGTTCTCGGGAGTTCAAAGTTCTCAGGGCACCTTTGGAGTTAATGTGACCAGAGAAATAATTAAATCTGTTTAAACCATGTTTCTCATCAGTTAATCAGCAAATTATTTCTTTTCTAAGTTTAGTCCAGCTCCAACAAGCATCAGTTTCACTTCTAATCATTTTCGTTCTGTGTGGAACTCTTCCCAGATTTCCATTATTTGTTATGAATAAAATTTTTACAATATCAGACTTAGTATAGGCAGTTCTAAGAGAATTTTGAAACAGCAGAATTACCTAATTATTAGAACTTAAGAACACCACATGCTGAACACAAATATTTTTTTTAATGAATTCATTACTGCACGTACCAAAGTTTTATCATTCACTCTGTGTTTTATTGCCATTTCATTGATTTTTCAGGTTGAGATACTGTTAAGACTAAGATATAAGTCATAAATCAACAAAAAACAAAGTACTCTAGCACTTTTCAAGTCCAACCATGTAGTTTCAGACGACGCAATCAAGGTAATTTTTCAGAAAACTCAAGCAGCTACTGGTATCATTAATTTACAAACTGTCTTGTGTGTCCTTCCATTCTGTTTTAACCTTGGTGAACTATTTGTAGATTTAATTGAACATAACTGAATCCATTGAGTTCCAGCCAGAAATGTGATCTGATGAAGGATGGTATTGTATATAACACCAGAAACAAACCTGGTCCATTAATTCCCTAACATCTCTGCCCTCTTTGCTGCTTCGAGCTGCACCTAGCTCAACTCCAGAGACCCTCTCTGCAAACTTCAGAGTGCTTATAGTTTCAGAATATGAACTAACATCAGGATTGAGCTGTACAAACATAAGCGTCTTTGCTTGACCTCCTGTAATGTGAAAAGTAAGAAAATATACATTCATATTAAGTCTAAAAGTAGTTTACCACTAGCTTTCAAGAAAGGTCACCAGCATATTGAACTAGGGAATAACTCGAGGAAGTTTAAGACAAGAAGGGAACACCAAAAAGCAGTACCTAATGAGCTTTGAAGTAGTTGAGTGAGCTTGCTGTTTCTATATGGTACATGAGAATTCTTTTGTGCAAGAGCGAAAATGACATCCCCGAGGGCAGATAACGATTTGTTTATATGTTGTGCTTCCCTAAGTCTGTCTCCAGTTGCCTCAGAGCGATCTACCCTTTCGCTCCCTGCTAGATCCACCAAATGAAGATTACCATGTAAAGCAGCACCAGAATGCAAATCCTTTCCACGAACATGGATACTGACAACACTGTGTGCACAGAGATAAAATCAAAATCACAACTAAATTTATCAAAATCACAACTAAATTTGAGACAAATGTAATCTGGACGTAAAGATAAAACAAAGATAGTACCTATGAGAGCGGCTACTTCTTTCATTCATGGCAGTGGCTCCAACAGCTCTGTTTTTTAGTCCAACATCTATTAATTCTAACACGTCTGAAGTTGATGTAACAGGATGCATGCTAGCATCTGGTACCGCCAAACCATTGGGTTGGACGGTAGAAATAATCCCAAGTGTGTGCAAATCAAGGGAAACAAAATATTTGAGAGTATTCTAGTGTACTCTTCATTCGAATAGTACACATTATAGAAAGAAATAGGTGGAAAATTCAGCATTTCTCTTAAAAAAAAAATAATATGAATCCTAAATTAAATCTGAAATTTGTTAAGGACAAAATAAACTATCCCTGGTGAAAAATCTATATTGTCAGTCAAATGACAGAGAAAGGGTGCCTCATGCATTTGATGAAAAGAGATGAAAAGCAAGCAAAATGGTGAAAATATGCATGATATGTTGATTAGATCACATACACCTAATATAAAAGGATATTTTTTCTGAGAACCATCACTCAATAGTAAATCACGCACTTGTTCGTTATATATTTCAACCATCTGAACCTGAATCTCATATATAAGGGAGTCTCTTCTATTCTGAGAAATACTGAATAGGTCATTTAGAGCCCGATAATTAACCCCCCAATCCTCTTCAGATGCTCCATTGGGACCTGTCTGCAACAGTAAGTCAAGTTGAGTTAGAATTGCCGGAAACTTTATTGCATGAAATGAGACTAAACACAATGATACACACATCAATAACCCATACCATTGTGTAAGTTTTTCCCGAACCAGTTTGTCCATAAGCAAATATACATACACTGTATCCATCCAGGACAGAACGTATCAATGGTTGAGTGTCTGAATATACCTCAGCTGCCAATATCCAGAGCAGATAGCAGGTTAGAGATGGCAAGAATTTTCTTCCACGGTCATGCCAGTAGAAAGTAAAAGCACAAAAACAATATAGCATGCCCTATCCACATTGAAAAAGATGAAGAGATGAAAACCTTGAGTAGAATCTGGACCGAAGACCTTATTGAACTTAAAATTGCGGCGTCTATCTTTCCCTTGTTTGGAGGGATTCACAACTGTTAACTCTCCGTGTTCACCTATATATTCTACCGTTGAATGTTTTTCACCATGCCCAGGAAGAAATGGCCTTATCCGGCAATAAACTCTGATGTTTCCTGCAAAACAAAATGGAAGAATTACACGTTAAAAGACTGAACCAACGTACAAACCTGATACAGCAAAGGCTAGCAGCGGCACCTTTTAGTTCCTGAAGCTCATTAAACATCCTCCTATTTTCAGCAAGGACTATATGATAATCCCCAGTTGCATCAATTAATGCTTTTAACTTTACTCCTGAGCAAGATCAGAATTATATATTATGAAACTTGCCATCACTAATAGCATAAATTGCCAAACTGTACTAATAAACAACAAACCTAGGCCATTGAATTCCTCCAAGTAGCTTTTTTGTACTTCTATAATTTCATGCTTGATGGACTTAGAGGACAACCTCAGTTCCTAGACGTTTTCATAAATTCAGTCAGATTCGTGATACAAAATGATGCAAGGCTAAAAGACTACCTAGTTATATTATACCTTCAGTGCACCAAATTGAAACTCAACAAAGCTCTTAAAGATGTGTTCTTTCTTGTTGAACATCTTAGATTTTGACTGAGAATATGCCTCAAGCACTCTCACTTGGTTCCTCGAATCTTCCAAGTGCATTTCAAGTTCTTTTAATCTCCCCTCAAGGCCACCTTTAGTGGCCTTAGCTTCTGTTTCCATTTGCAATCGATTTAGTTCATGTGTCTGTTTCACTAGTTCTAATTCTTGTTTCAAGGCTGAAAGTTCAAGATCTCTTTGCTTCTGCTCTTCGGTCAACTTAGCAACATGGTCCACTCCAATTTTCTTCTCTTCCTCCATTTTGGACTTCTCAATCTGTAATGAGGGAAAAAAAATAAAAAAAATCCCATTATATGAATATTATGAAGAACATCCACACAACAAGTACAAGAAAATGATTCTTTTCTTTCTTTTTTGGATAGTAAAATGTACTCATTCTAATACTTTCTAAACTAGCCAGAAGAAATAAAAGAAAAACCGAAGCAAACCACATATGTCAGGACACACTAATCCACCAGAAATTGTATGCAGATCATAAGGAGCAACTATCAGTAGTCTGTGAGAAGATAGCAAAAGAATAATTCCAGAGAAAGTGACAAATACAAGCAGTTCAGTGAGCAAGTTACGGTGTAAATAACTTAAGAATTGTTTTTTCTTGTCTCTGAAACATACCTTAATTTGTTGAAGCTGGTCCATAACAACCTGCAAAAATATTAATATAAGAAAAACAGGTGTATTTTGGAAAGGTTTGCACCAGTCTAGTCTTAAATAAGTTTTCCATACCCCCCTCTCTTCACCAGTCCCAGAAGCCAGGGCTTCAAGTACTCTGATTCTTGACTGGTACTTCTCCTCACGAACCTTAAATAGATTGTTTTGCTGAAGGGAGAGAAGCATAAAGATATTGTCATTGGTACAGTCAATCATGGAGAAACAATTCAATTTTTTTTTTTTTAAAAAAGGCAAAATGATTCTTACTGTTCTCAAGTGTTCTGCTTGAGTTGAAATACGGCGTTCAATCTCTTGTACAACCTTTCTCAACAGACAAGCCACACGCTGAGAAATAAAATAAATGTTAATCATGCCTATAAACTATTCAAGTGTATGGATGCATGCATGTACACATAGTAGTTGCAGAAATACAAAGATACAGAAACATATTTAATGTACTTAATGTTACCCCTATTACATACATGCGGTATCTCGTCACTCTTTCTTTCGATGCTTTCATCCAATATTCCATTCACAACACTCAGAAGTGACTGAGTTGGTGCATTCTGCAAACAAAATGTTGAAATGTTACTGACAAGGGCTCAGAATGAAAACGTTAATGAAAAAACTGTAACATAAGAAAACATGAATGTTCATCAAATAATACAAATGAAAACTTACATCCAAACTATTTGATCTCATCATTTCAGAGATTTTTGCAGCAGAAAGATCTGAATAGCAGCCTTGTTTCAGTTGAAACATCTCATGGAACTTATGTACAACATGGGGCATGGATGCAGCTGATGCCTCTGTTGAATATGAGAAAAACGTTAGAGATGCTTTTAAATTTCAAAAACAGCATGTAAGACTTTAATAGACTTGAAAGCACAATTTATCTGCATTTTAGTGATACATGCATTAGAGGAAAGTTGCGTGCTATTTTCATATAGCATAAGATCAGCTTAAAAATTGCTTCAGGTTCAGTATTGCAGTGCACATATGAAAGCTCTTCACGCCTAGCCTTTTAAGCCAGCCAAGTGCGCATATGAAAACCGTATACTTCGATCACGGGAGAGAGTAAGCCATACCTGTTATAACAGGACTCCGCAAGGCTTGTTGAATTTTTGACTCTGGAGAAAACTTTCGCTTTTCTTCCCCAAATGTTGAAGAAAAAAGGCCATTGGAAGATGCATCCCCACGAGGGCTGCCATATTTAATCCCACCAGTGGGAGAAACAACACCCAGATATGCGAATTGTGCTCGAAGTGTTGAAAGGCAATCCATAACGTTCTTCATAGATCCCTGCAGATTTCAAACACAGCAGATGGATAGAGATAAAATCCTTTATGTGCAAAGACCAAGAAGTGGTAAAGACTAGCTCTAGTTGACGGCATTATCATTGTTCAAAGTTAAAATGAAGTGTATGAAGCTGGCAAAATCATGAGTTTTTTGGTAGATGGAAAGCATACCTATAAACTTGCTTCTTACTTAGCATTCAAATGTTCATATGCATAACATTAATCTATGGGGGGGACAATAGACAGACAAACATTGGATTACCTTCTCCAGGTCTGACGGTTCAAACTTGAGAATCCCCAATTCATCCATACTTGCCAGAAACTTCTTAACATTTTCAGAGCTAGAACTTCCAGCCTGAAATAGAAATGCACTATGAAATCAAATACGCAAATGCTAAATCATCCACTCATAAGCAAAACAAATAAGCAACCTTGTATGCATAACCAGGTCTAAGCTTATTTAAAAGCTGTAGCAGAACAGTGCCATCGATCAAGCAGGCTCTCAAGTCCTCGGATGAAGCTTTTACTGGCAAATTTAAACTAGGAACAATACTATTCATCCATTCCACCAATATGGCTCGCTTATTGGCTGGAGATAGGGCAAAAAGAGAAGAACAAATTCAGCTCAAAGGAATAAAACAACTGCAGTTAAAAGGAAAGTAAGTTTTTTCTTACCTTCAATGTCATTGTTACGAATTACAGTTGGTTCAAAAACACCCGAACGGACAGATACCTTTGAGCTATTGGCTCTCCCATTTTGTACCATGGGGTGATCCGAAGCTGAATTCATTGCTTACCTTTGAAGTCAATTATGAAAGCATGGCATATGCATAATTCCTCACAATTTTCCAGAGCAATCCTGAGAAGTTTATAATAGCAACCATCACGAGACTGATGAATTATGCAAAAATCCCCCTTTAACCAAGAAAAGCAAACAGGGTGTTTCATATGAGTTCACTATAAGAACAAACATAACTAGGCACTAGATACTGTATGATTGCAGAAATTATTCCCACATTCACGACTCATTTCAGCATTAAGGTGAACAATGGGAAAGTTAAAAGAAGGGAGCAAGCATCAGATAATTCAAACCATAGTCTAAGAACAGGAAGATTGGTTACCAGAAAACTTCACAGAAACTGATGAATTTGCAACAAAATGCCGATATCAAATTCATGCAATATGAGCTAGAATCACCATCCCCATTGGAAATAGCAAAACAGGATTTCTACCAATAATGAGCAGAAGTAAAAAAAGAAACAGAAAGGAAATAAACCGAGTTACTATATATATATATACATATACGCACATACTTGTAATGGATGAGCTATGAGATCATAATTTTAGAGGAATCCAGATGACAATTACCAAAACTAAAACAACAACACAATGCTGGTACATTCAAGACAATGCGATCATCAAATAAATAAATATCAAAACAAAAAAACAAAATGGATTCAATTCAATTATAAAAAAAAAAAAGAGAAGAAAAGGGAGCCACCTGAGAGAGACGTGGAACTAAGCAATACACACGTCGTTTTAAGGTCAAACAGAAAGAAGACATGCATATAACTCGGTCATGTTATTAGAGAAAGTGTTGTTATTAAACTAGACAACAAGAACACAACACAGGTATTAGATTCACCTTAGACTTCCATTTTAAAAGGACAAGTCAAACTCTGTTTTCTTTTTCTTTTTTATTATGATTTTGCTTGGTATTCCGTGAAAATGAAAGAGAAAGTGCGTAAGAAGAGGAGTGTAACTCTCCTTTAGGCCTTGCCCTTTTCTTTTCTGTGTGGTGATCATTGAAATGTGGAAAGTGGCCTTTTATGTTCCACGCCTCTTAAGTGTCCCAGATAATTATGGTTTGTTTGGAGATTATGTTGTGACAACGATGTTACTAGCCAGTTCCTTGCCATCATTGAAAGTAGGTGTGAGGGGGCAAAAAAAAAAGCCCAAAAAACAGAATAAATTGATAATTAAATGAAAAAACTAAATTGAGAAAAACAACTGAATTAAAGGATTTAAAAATATATAAAAAATTCTAGTCCAGTTTTATTTTATTTTTAAAAATTCAAAATCAATTAAACTGATGACATCACAAACCTTTAGTTATTATGTTATTGTTTTATTATTGTATTTTTTTATAATTATGTTTATACTTTATATATTACTGATAATTTTTGGTTTTTGAATTTGAAATTATAGTAGCAATTGCATTTTAAAGTATTTTTTATTTAGAATTATTTTAAAATAATATTTTTTTTATTTTTTAAAAATTATTTTGTAAATTAATATATTAAAATGATATAAAAATATATAAAAAAATTTTTATATAGGATTAGAAAGAATGATTTTGAGAGTGAAATTGGTATTCTCTTGTAAGTTTGTGTCTAAAACCAAATAAACAGATAATTCAAATATAGATTACAAAAGAACGTTTCTTTCTTAATCAACGTTTTGAAATTATATAATAATTGTCCCCATGTAACTCTTTCTAATGGCACTGTTGGCATTTACCATCGTTTTAATTTATTTGGTATATTTTTTCATTATTTTTTGTTGTTTGGATATTCTCTTCATTTATTAAAAAAAACAATCATTTGCTTATAGGAAATTTAAGAAGATTTAATGGAAAAACCCATGTATTTGTATCAATTCGACAACTTAGCATGTATGAAAAAAAATTGTTAATGGTTGCAAAACTTTCAATTTGACATAATCAGATTAAATTGCACTAAATTGCAAGTTAATTACCTATTATAAAGGATGTTTGAGAAATAAATAGATAAGTTTTCTTTACAATCCAACTTTCCAAAATATCTGAGGATTAAAAAAAAAATTAATGGCTGAGATTTTTTTTTTCATATTTTTATTCTCTTAAAGTTTTTCAAAAAAGATAATTTCTAATAATTTCCAATTTCTTTCATTTTTTATAGAAAAGATTAATCTTTTCAACATTAATAAATCTTTTATTTCTTGAACATTTTTTTAAAAACTTCTAATGGCTAAGATTTTACTTTTTGTTCTTTGAAAATATCAAAAAATTTTATTCGTAAACATTTTCAAGAGTTTATTTTTATTAAGAATTTTTTTATTTCATTAAAATTTTAGGGAAGTTTTTATATTTCTTAAAAAAATTAAAAATTCACTTTTTAAAAAAACTAATTATTTTTTATTTCCTAAACATTTTTGAAATTTTTATTTTTTCAAAAAAGAATTAACCTTTTTTATCTCTTAATTTTTTTTAAAAATTTCAATTGATAGTCATTTGATAATTTAATGCAATTTAGCATAATTAGATCAAATTGAGTAAATTTTGCAATCATAGGATCAAAATTGACCAAATCATTCTCGTTTGGGCTTATTTTCTAAGTTAATTACAAATTGAGGAGTGATTTCGGTGGGGGTGGTAATTTTGAAGTCTTAATTGATGTGCTTTGCTTAATAACCTATCCTTTTAATAACTCATTTAAGCATTATAGAACCTTACGATTTATCATTAGAGATATTTGGTTGCCTGGTATGAGTGGTGAAGGATATACTGTCCGTATGCTATTACTTGGAATTTAAATTATACTTTCCTCAGCAAGCTCTGCTTAACTCTATATTAAAATTAAAGAAATTTATTGTATAAAAACTAGTAGGATGATATTGTCTTATATTAACAAAAAAAAAAGAGAAGTTATTTGATAATGTTTTAAAATATGATTTATATGATTTTTTAATATTTTTCTTCAAATTAAAGCTCTTTGAACTTAAAATTTATATATAATCATCATTATTTTTTGTTTAATTTTTATTAAATAAAATTAAAGTTATGATTTTCAAACATTACAAGATTTCATAGTTTTACTGATAGACAGATTATGTCTGTATGAGATTAAGAGTTCGTTGGTAATGTTTTTACTGACTAAATCATCGATGAAAAGAGTTTGTTGGTATACAATTCATTGGTAATACCACACTCTATCGTTAAGTCCGTCAATAAGAAAAAAAAATATTACCAATGGTTTTATAGATGGAAATTATGCGCAAAAAAAAAATTCTTACTGGAAATATACCAATGAACTTATTCCATTTGTGCTAGTGGCATATCAAGTAAATATGTTGCAACTTTCGGTAAAATGCCCACGGATGGTAGCTGACAGTGAAACCGTTGATGATTGTGGCATTTCCAGTAATTATCTTTCAACTCTATGCGAAATACCAAAAATTACATTCTGTCTGTAAATTCGTCGATATGTATTTTTAATTTAAAAAAAAACTATTTAGAATAAATAATGTAAAATTATATAAATTAATAGTAAAAAAACAATTATGCAAATAAATTTTATTAAACATCAAAAATAAAAAAATAAAATTAAATAATATTCATTACAAATTAAATGTGTTTCCAAAAAAATATTAAATTTGCACAATGACGAAGTTGGAGGAAGAGGAGGAGGAGGAGGACGAGGTTGGTTGTTATACGGCCAAAAAGGAGGTGCACATGTATCACCACTCTATGATGCCAAGTTCATGACCATTTGATGAAGCTGTTTATAATTCGTCGAGAGTTGCTCGTATTCTTAGTGATATAAGCCGTGTGAGCTGTGTTTTGTTCATAATTCGTTGATAGTTGCTCGTATTTCGCGGTGAGATAAGCCATGTGTTGCTGCAAGGCCACAAACTCTTAAGATTGGGTGCTCGATACTGATTGAAAGTTTCAAATTGTTGAGACACTATGGACCGCCGTTAAGTTCGTGGTCGTAATATTGGAGAGCCCGTACACCTTGTTGTTACCCAATTTTTGACTCTTCTATTCAATAAGATTTTTGAAAAATCCAAAAGAATTTAAATTTTTAAAAGTTTTTAGAACGCGTTTGACTTTTAATGTGTTATTTTTAAAATCAATTATTTTCCTCATTTGAGTTGGTTGATAAGAAAAATCCAAAAATAATAAAAAAATAAAAAAGATGATGGACCGAATTTGAGAACCTAACAATAGTTTGACTTATAAATAGGAGTTTACAACACATACACAAAAGAGGGGGCAATTTTGAAAGAAAAAAACAATGGAAACACAAGAAAACCCTAAACCTAAACTTATCTCTACCAACACAAGCTGCTGCCCCCCGTAGCTTTTGGTTTTCTTGCTCCTAGCCGTTCTCCATCTCAGTCATTTCACCCCCCTTAGACGCCCAACCACAACACCAACACTTTCTTCTCCTCCACACCCAGCTCTTGTCATTCTACCTTCCACTCTATCTTATTCCTTTCTCTCTAATTAGTATTTAAAAGTGCATTTTTATCGAGATTTTATATCATCATTTTGCACTTGAAGTATCAATAACTCCTTAATTAGAGCATGTTTTATAATAACAAATCTGATAATATAAGATACATTTAATTTATGGTAAATACTCATTTTAAATGCAGGTATTCTCATAATTCAAAGGATTGATTGTTGTGATTAACTATTGGAAGT